TTTCCAATAATTTATTAGGTATAAATCAATTATCTTGTTAACCCTCGAGTCTCTCGTCTGTTAAACGGTTCCCCAAGGTTTCCTTGCTACGAGCTTGGTCTCGTAAAATTCTGTCGAGATAAATTCTTGGGAGATTGCGATCGATATCTACAGCCTTGACTTCATTGTACGAGGAATATAAATTCTCGACACGATAGATCTCCATTTCTATAAGTCATTGATATCTCCTGATATTATTATAGATTCGTGATATCATAAAACTGCGGATCATAGATTGTTGATATCATGTATTTTGATTCTTGCTGCTTTGAACTCGATGTCGCAGACTAGAAATTCCCAATGTTATTAATCTTGATCCTATTGATTTTTGATCTTCGCAACATTATAGTGATATCGTAGATTCTTAATACTTAATGAATCTCATAAGGTCACATATATTAAACCTCTTTACGTGATTTCTTTCAATTGTGTAAATATATTTAAATATATTTAAATTGTCAAGGTAAATGTTTCATTTATTATACGTGTAGAAAAAAAGAGATTTTCCTATATTTTTGTGTCATCGCGAGACATATATTGCCATCGATATTGAGATTCGCTCGATTTTGCCCCGCGGCACGTCAGAACGATCAGAAACTCGACCGTTTTCACGCCTGAGAAAATCCTTATTGTCTGGGACAGGCTAGTTCGCCTGGAGCGGAAAGTCACGCGAATCGACGCACAAGGAAGAGGAAACGAGAAATCGACTTAATTGCGCATGCCGTTTGATACTACTTTTGTGCGTACACAGATTGCAACGCACAACTGATTCTTATATTCGCTTTTCTTCTGATCTGGATTTTCCTCGCATAAATTCTTTCACGTTGTATTTAATATTTGCTATATTCATAGTAATTATTTATAAGTACAAGTATTATGAAAAATCGGCAAAATATATTCCAAATTTTATATCAAATATTATTTCATGTTTATTTCATGTGTCCATAAAAGCAGAATTTGAAAGAGGCAAGGGATCCGCAAAATGTATAGAGGAATTCTTATTGCAATAATTCCAAAATCGACAAATAAAAATTCCGACTGGCCGTTAGTTGTACCTTTTTTTTCTCGAAGAGTCAACCAGTTACCTTATACGCGCGTGGTGAACGGCGTGCGCGTTCAGATGCATGTCGATCGTGTATGACATAAATATGCATTGCAGGCCGCTATGCGCGTACGGAGCGTTACTAACAGGGCCTTAATTATGAATGAAAATAATACGCGCTTCAATCTCGAAACACACTTTCCTCGGCGTCAAGCCATCCGGTTCAACGACTCCTGCCTGTTTTCGCGCGAAAAAGTATCGTAACAACGAATACGATATTGATAATCACAGCGAGAGCCATTGACAAAGAATATGCGATCCGAGTCACTAATATAAAATATTTTTTTTTTTTTTCAGATTCGACGGATCCCCCCCCTTTTCCGGGCTCCATCCTACGATATATTTACAAGTAAGTGGAATTTAACGTGCATGAAATCTGCCGGAAAATTCGAGAGACGCGACGACGTCATTGCGTAACGTAATGATCTGGTAATCGGTCATGTGGATTTGCGTCGAATCGGACCGGCCGCAAATCTCCGTTACGTGACGAATTCCGCGACGAGTGGGTTTTGTCCCGCGCGTTGCACTCGCACGTGTGTGCATTTGTCCGCACGCGTAGCGCTAAGCTCTTGGCATTAGTTGGCGCGCTTCTACAATCGACGCAGTTTGTTTGCCCCGTGGCACGAGGACGAGCGAATCGAAGCATGCATAGCAGCGCCGAGTAATACCTCATTAGCGAAAGGAAATAAGGCCGTTCGGCGAGGCCTCTTTTGCTCTCGCAAACAGCACTCGATCGCGAAATTTGCCGCTTCTTCTTCGTCAAAGATTTATTTCACCGAGAAATTTTCATCGTTCGGAGTTTCTCCTCCCCCTCTCGGCAAGGTGATATCGCGAGAAATGTTCTTAATTATATTCGGAGAAGAGATGTTATTATTATCTTAATCAAGACGGAGTATCCTTGAAGGAACAAAAAATATTTATTTGATTTAATCGCTGTTTTAAAATTGGCTTTTATTATGTATCTTTTAATTATATTTTCATGAAAAACTCAAGTTATCTTCATGCTTTCGAGATTCGAAGTCGCTCATGCGCGATCACCGTAGTTTATTTTGTATCGCGTGCGTGCAACATACGTATTAAATGCATGTTTCCTCTATTGCTATTTAATGTTAATTGCACACAGTTATCATTTTAACATACGTTCCAATTATGCGAATGTGTTTGGATTATCTTTGGATCGTAAAAAAAAAAACTAAAAGCAAACTGTGTTCTGACAAGGTATACCTATGATTTAACGCTTAATATAGATTACATTTTTAATCTCCTTAATTAATCCCGTTTCGTATCTCTGCAATATAACTTATCGAGTAATCACGGGGCAAAACTGTCGTCGCATTGTTGATAAAATTGGCATCTATCGCGCGATGGCATTTTTGTTAATATATATTTTTAGATATCTTATCGCGACGCACGTGCCTAGGACTATAATTATGTGTATCCTTCTCGTAATATCGGCTTGCCACGAGTTTCGTTATGGTTTCGAGAGATTATCGTTATCGTTGTTTCGATGACTGTACCCAAGTATCGCTCCGTTCAAGGCCGCGTGCAAAAAGTTTTTTTTATACAAGATGCACGCGTGTCAATCTTTTGTGTGCAAAGTACACTGTAGAAAATAAACGGCAGGAGCTCGTTATAAAATATGGTTTACATTAATATCAGAAAGCGAGATGCATCATCATCTGTATCGCGTTATTTTATTATACAATATCTTCTAATATATCCGGAGAAAAAGATATACACACGATTGAGAAATAAGATTAAAAGGAAAAGATCATGTTTGTTTTATTAAAAAAACAACAAATAGCACGATCGTTTAAAAAAGCATGTTTCTGTGCAATACATTTCTCTTTAATTATATACAATCTTTATCTGAATATATCTTTTACCGCGGGACATTACATTTGACATTTGAACACGGTTGTGCCTTAAACCTAAATCGAGGATTGTATATATAACAGAGTTTGCCAAAATATTTACTCTTGCGTTTCCTTTCCGTATCGCGTGGATTTCTGCGTCGCCTCTTTAATAAAAATTCAAAACGCCGATTCAATATTTCATAAAATAATTCGAATCAGACCGTGCCAAGGCACACGAAGCCTCCTCCGCCACGGGAACGTGAATTCATTGAAAATTCTCGTTTTCGCGGCGTATCTCCGGAGGGAGAGCAACAAGTGAGCAAACATCCGTGCAACGGATTCTCGAGTCCGCGCAAATCGGCGCCTTGCGATCGAACTAATCGAGCAGCAACGCGCCCCAAAGCTGCGGAATGGCAGGAATGTCGTGACACGCGTACGCGCCCGACCGCTAAAAGACGAAGCCTGGATCAATGGAGCGTGACTGCGTCGGGTTCGACGAAAGTGAGGCGGAGATACAATGGCCGAACACAGAAGAAAAGAGAGAAACGTTTCCCTTCGCTCGCTCGCCCTCCCGAATGGAGCTGGCAGCTATTTTCAATGGATCGACTTTTTATCCGATCGCAGAAATACCGAAGCGCGGATGCGTCTAGATTGAAAATGAAACAGTTGTGACCGGAATACATGTGTATAGAGAAATATTATTTAACATAAAAAAGTTACAATCTCTTGAATTTTATTTGAAAATGTGATAAGGGGGAACGAAAAAACAAAATTATCTTCTAAAGTGAGAAATATTCTTATGCCAAGTTCTCTTAATAATTATATTATATAATTTCGTCTACGTAAAATTATTATATAAAATTCGAATTTTCTATTTAATTTGCATTGAAGTATTTGGCTAATTTAGTACAGCGAAAAACAAAATCATGATCGTTACACGAACTGACGGTTGACATGCTGATGCGGATGAAAACCTGCTGATTCTGCAATAACATTCCGTATAAAGACCAACAATGATGACGGCATGGAATAAAATTACCTGATGTAAAATTATACTTGCATTTTTTAATATTTCTGTTGCATCATAAAACAGCTTTAAATCTGGTAAAATTTTTTAAATTGTGTGAGGTGTAATTTAAATAATTACATATACACGATATATTCTTAATTAAAATATTACAAATAAATTATAAAAAAAATATGATATTAATTTAAAAATTTTTCTCATTCAAATTAATTTATTTATCTTTTTGTTTCATTGATTTTAAAATCTTAATTTCATTTAACACGTATTAGAAATTAATGTATTAATCGATAATATTCTAATCGATAATATTTTCTTCAAGAATATACTCTGTCATTTTATTCTAGAATATTTGAATTGTGTCTGTCGCGATAAGTATTTCCTCATACGTGATACATTAGATCGCTTTTACGAGAATACGGTGTATTTTTATGCCAAAGTGCGTCGATAATCGAGCTATCTCGATTCAAAGGTGGTTCTCCTACGTTTCTTCTTTTTTTTTATTTCTTTTTCTTTCACGCAATACAAGCACATTCTGCGAATTGTTGGGGCCACGTCAGAATGACTCGTCGACTAATGAATTGCAATGTAACGAGCGCTAATTGAAGACGCGTGATTAAGACAGCAGAGAATTTATACGCTTTAGAATTTATATTCGCGATTAGGCGGAAAATTTCATCGCAATCAAAGTGCCATAGAAACGGACATTAAAAATTATCAACTTGATAGCAGCGTCATGAAAAGTATTTTTATATTTATTGTTGAAATGTGTAGAGTAAAAAGTACACGAATAGTGAAAATAATAATCCGTCGAATTCTCTACCGCATAATTAATCAATCGGACAAGTGTGCAAACGTTTAAAAAAATATTCGCCATTAAATATTTATAACGTTTATAAAAATATAATTAACATTTATAAAAATACTCGCATATCGAAATGCGAGAAAAAGAGAGAGAGTAACGGAGTAGCTTTTTTACCTCCGTCTTTTCGATTGCTGGGTCTCGGTGTGGGCCTGTTGGATGTGATGAGGCGATAAGTCGGAGCCGTAAGACAGAAGTTGACTTCCGGCGGCGGGGCAGGCGGACGGGGGTGGCGGTGGCGGAGGTGGCGGGCCCAATTGATAGCCCACGGTAGCCGAGGGAGTCGCGTAGTGCGAGGGGCCCGGTCCCGGGCCCAGACCGACCCCGTAGCCCGCGCTTCCCGCCGACCCGCCCCCGTACATGCCGCTGCTACCGGGATACTCTATTTTGACGGTGTGTATGTATATATGTACGTATGTATGTATTTGTATTCAGGTTCAAAGCACTCGATTGTATTGATAATTAACGCGTATCGCACTCTTTTCGGGAAGTCACAGAAGAGCTAACTTGTCATTGTTGTTCCGAGATTACTCGTTGATATCGCTGTACACTCTTGTATATCGTTATCAAGATCTCTTAAATTATCAATACGTCAACACGTCGTCTTGTTAAGAACCCCGAGATAATCCGCTGATGCGCTCTTGTGTATTTTTCTTCATAGAATAACTTGTACGTTTGAGTCCATTGTCAAGTTAATTCGTTTGCTTTGAAAATATCTCGTTTTATGATGTCAAAGTTAAGCATAGAATTTTGTACTTTAAATGACACTCTCCGTTAATCCGTTTCAAACTTTGTTACAATAAGTTTTGCTTTTCTTTGTCGATAAGAAACATGTGTATCTTCAATTCTACCTTCACTAATAGAGTCCTCGAACTAGCAAAACACGAGCTAATAAGAGCACGCGTCGATCTCTTCTAATCCTGGTCGCATGAAAAGGTTTACGATAAAACACGATTCTCATCCGCATCCCTTTATCGCAACCCATCATTTTGTACTTTGGTTTCCGGGGAGATGGAAAAAAATGTCTTGATGGTTTAATAACTCGGACGTGTGAGCTCAAGATCCTCGATATAGAAACTTCGACTATATGTTCCACCGTTGTCTTCCACCGAATTATCTTGTCATCTCGTTACCTGGAGCAAGATGTAGATCTATCAAGCGGTCTACGAAGCGGTTTTATACTTCGCGTTTCCCTCTTCAGTTACTTAGAGATTCTTCAGAGTTTCGAAGGCCTTTTTGTATCTGAATTCTGCTCACGTACGTTCGTGTACTTCACCAATCTCAAAAAAAGAGAGCGAAATATATTTTAATAATTTATATTTCAATCAACAGTTATCCGCTTATTTATTTACGCTCTTGGAGAATCGTTTATATCAACGTGAAAATTGATGCGAGAAATGCGTTTCTATCGTATCGATCACGTATAATTTTTTGTACTTGCGTATGAGTGGAATTTTCTACTAGAATTTAATCACTCGCACTGCGTAAGCCTGTTTCGAAAATTATATCAAGCTGTCTCTCAACGAAAACAGATAAGCGAAAACCTTATCTGGTATTGCCCTATATTTCCCGGAATTGTCTTTATCTCGAGGTTCCCGATATACATATCCCTCTTCTTGCGACATAAAATCAAATTTTACCTCCACTTGACTTATGGAAAGAGTCACTTTTCTGTCGTGTTCTGCTTAGTCACCGATGGCACGATTAATCGACCAAGAAAGAAAGCACGGAGGAGCAAAATGTGTTACGGAAGTGCGCCTCCGATTTTGGAAAGCGTTAGATCGGCCACTTTCACGAGGCGAACTATTCGTTTCCCAAGAGCATGCTTACGTTCTTATTAACAAATTGTTCGTTCTTTTTTCCCTCTTAATTCCTTCAGATATCCTCGGTATCAATCTCGGGAGAGAGTCCGGGGGGGTTACGAGTCTCTGCGAAAATGTCACGAGATCCTTGTCGGGCCGTCGCAATCACGCCGAATTTTGCACGCTCCTTTTGTCGCACTGTCGCGCATAATCAACAGGAAAATCGAGCTAATCTCTTCTTCGCTTCGTCTCGTCAAAGCAATGGCCATCGCTGAAGCGTCGCGATCACTTATATCCTGAAAAACTCGGCTCAAAGTCGCTTGATCGAGCGCACGGCACATTAAGCGAAGCGAATTACCCTATTTTCAAACGATACGACTGCGAAATAATGTTTTGCGTAATCGAAGATAGGCCTTCGAGTCCTGTAATTTTGTAGGAAATATTTTACTTATCTGTCTCATTTTCCCTAAAATTATCATTCTGCGCATTTACAAAAAAATTTTAGACGATTGTGGGAATAATCGCGCGAATCTTTGCCACACTGAAGATCACATGATGCACGATAACGATGATTATTCGTCTTGGGAACGTCTAGTTTACGCAGTCGACGTCGAAAGTTCGCAAAGTTACGTTTCTTCCACCGTGAAATGAACTCGTCGTTCGTTCTAAATCAACTCGGCTGAGCTCGCGTAACGAGAAACGCACGCAAATCACGGATACGTCGAGGTCCCGCGTGCAAAACCGCGCCACAATATTCTCCAGCGCGATATTACCGCGAAGAAGGAGTCTTCCCCTCTGAAAATCCTCGCAACGGTGAAGATTTATCGAATCATAATAAAATCACACTAGGAACACGTGTCTTGTGCAAAGTTCAGTGTTCGATGACAAAAAATCCACGGAAATCCAGGAAAATTAATTTTTCCTCAGAAAAGTTACGAAAATCCCCTATCTATGATGGTGTATATATATCATATGTACGCTCACAGTTTTACAGTTCTCTCTTCTAAAAATCATATAAAATTCACTCGATAATTTTCTATCAATTTTTGTATCTTTTTTAACACGATAAGTTCCATGGATTCAATTCCTGAACCAAAATAATCGACATTTGCTCGTGCATTGGATCTTGGAAATTTTTTTCTCTCTCTCTCTCTCTCTTTAGCTATATTTATTAAAATTCTCTCTGGATTTTCATCCTCAAAAATCATCAATATTTAATTCACTGAGAACGAGGGTCACTCGATGACACGTGCATCGGGGCGTCCGATTTTCGGCGCGAAAACTTTCGTCGCGACGTACTCGCAGATATAATAATGACGCGCGATCGGTCCCGACGCGGCCTCGATCGCAATCGATGAGGATTGTCGACGCTGGCGACGCGGACTGACGCGGAAGCACGTTTCACGGACGTACGTATTAACGTGCGGACGGACGGGATGGACGGACAGACGGACGGATGGGTCGCCGACTAGCCACCACCCACAACTCGCCAGTGACTGATTCCACCATAGCCGCATAATGTGCTGCTGCGGTATACCCCGGTGAGGACTATCACTTCTCCCACCAGAGAGCCCGGGACAGCCACCGTTGCGAAGCACGACTTTTAACCGGGATGCATTGCATTGCATTGCATTGCATTGCATCGCATCGCACCGCTCGCGACAAAGATCGGGGACGGAGAACCCCTCGGTTTTTAGGGGACCTTTCTTTTTGACCACGAGAAAATTTTGTTTCCCAGCCTTAATTCTTCTTCTTTAAAAAGTCGCATTTTTTTTTAACCACGAGAAAATTTTGTTTTCCAGTCTTAATCCTTCTTCTTTAAAAAGTTGGGTTTTTTCTTTTTAACCACGAGAAAATTTTGTTTTCCAGCCTTAATTCTTCTTTTTTAAAAGGTCGGATCTTTTTCTTTTTGACCACGAGAAAATTTTGTTTTCCAGCCCTAATCCTTCTCTTTTAAAAGGCCGAATTTTTTTCCTAATCCGGATAAATAATTTCCTAATTTCTTCCATATTCGTTTATATAAAATATTTTAACATACGTTACATTTAAAGTTATGTATGAGCATAATTTTTTATTCGAATGTATCGCGTCGCTCTCTTTACGATGGGGGGAAACAAAAGAAAATTGGAGGACCAAAACTTCTTAATATTCCAAGCGATTGCGCTCTAAATTCGATGCAAGAAAAAACAGTTACAAGTGTCCAATATATATTTATTTTTTCTTTTAATTTTTTTTAACACTTTCAATAATATATTATTTTTTAATTCTTTCTAAATTCCTCATATATTTATAAACTCTCGAAAAGTTTACGCGATTACATGCGATGCGATAAAATGAAGAAAAAATAAAAGAATGCAAGAAATTAATAGGAATTAATTACAATATTAAGGAATAAATGCGTGTGTAAGTGATAATGGAGCGGATACACGTGCTTATCGCTGAAAAAAATCATCCCGGCCGGACCCGATGAATCGGGAATTTTCACGCTACAGGGGGGGTCGCGCTCGTGTGCGGGAGTGTGTTAACACAATGTGCGCGCGGTTGACATTTGCGGCCGCTTCGCGTGCCGAAGCTGCGCGACCGAGAAGCATTTTCGCGAAAGAGACAGACTCGTGTGTGTGCGCGCCGAGTAAAAGTAACGCGCGCGCGGCGCTTACGCGATAACGAAACGTTTTCTTGAGCGATGTCGCAACCCGGCTACGCTCTCGAGCGGTTATATTAGCCGAGCAACACCGGGTATTGTAAGCCGGGGGAGAATTGCCTACCGTGTTATATATATGTGTGTGTGTGTGTGTGTGCGCGCATATATATGTGTGCGGCGAACGCCGTAACTGATCCCGGCGCTGCATCATTTCTCGGAACTGCGTCAATCAAGCGCGACACCAAGTTCGCCGTGCATGTCAACCGCACGACGAAATTTCACCTCGATCGTTAACACCAAAGCAGGCTATTTTCGTCGCCAAATGCCTTCCCGGGCGATCTTTCTCGCGCTCTCTTTCATATCGGGAGACTCGATATTTATGAATACAATATGTGTATCGCACATATATAACGCTATACATTTAACATAGAAAATTTATATGAATATTTTCATCTTTAATACATGTATATTTAATATTAATATATAATTAATATGCATTTAATATTAATATATATTTAATTATATATTAATATTATTTTTGTTATTTATATAAATGAATAATAATTATAGATGATAAATAATTATATTATCGTCAATTTTCTCAAGTGTAGAAAAAAATTTCCTAAATTTTTTTAATGTCCCATATATCATCAAATTTTTATTCATAAAACTATATTATTTGGTGAGAATATCAAAATTTTCAATTTGCATATGGGACATTAAAACTTGATATATTGAAATATATGGTCTAAATATACATGAATTATGCTTGATATAGAAATTATTTCGATGCAAAAATTAAGCATATATTCTTTGATAACTTACCCTATGTGGGCAGCACTACGCTTCTGTGCCATTTTGCTTGGGTCACTCCCTGTACAGAAAAAGATTTACATGAACATTGTATATAATAATTAATTTTCTCTCCTAAGACTTAATTTAATTATATAAGATAAGAATTACATAAGGCCTAAAATTGAGATATGAACCAATGATTAATAGAATTTATAAAAAGCTCAAGATCTTTTTGTTTCAATTAAATTTCTTTAATCGATAAAATGTATCTGTAATTTTTTGACTAATGTGTCTTTCTTATATAATTTGTTATTTAAAAATTTATATATTTTATTAATATATACCATTAATATTAATATCTATAGTAACCCTGTAGATAGATAATCATGATTACTGATACAACTAAAACAAATTAGATCAATATTGATTACTTTTGAGGGATGTTAAAAATGATAAGTACAATCTTTCTCTTTCTCTTTTCTTACTTTCATCTATATTAAAATTATAATTGTGAATTTAAAAAGTAGTCTGCTCACTCACAACAGTTTATTAACCATCGCTGCAACAAACTTTTCCCACTAACCCATGCTAACCACAGTAACTAAGTTCCTACTCAATTTAATCGTGTCGCGATTCAAAAATAGCCAAAAGATCAATATTTCGATCCGTCGAAAAAAGAAGTTTATACACCTCATTCTAACTCGTGTGCTGGGTAAAGTGCACGATAATTCACCTAGATTCTAGATCATTAATAGTCTCATCCGAATCGTACGTGCGTGATACGCACGGGAGTGCGTGGGAAACTTGTAGGAAAACGAGTTGTCGAGAAATGCGAGTTTTCCTCGGGAAAAGTGGCCAAGTTTCGATCACGCGATTCGGCTCGCGCGGCCGGAAAAGCGACAGCAACGGAGCGACGTTAAAGCGACGGCAACAAACGCGACGAGCAGTTTGCTTTACCTGGAATCGAATGGGCGATCGTGGATACCGTGAACATTCAGCCGGAATTTCCTGTTGCCACGATGCGACGGAAAAACGGGGCGCGCGGGGCGCAAGCGGATATTGTTGCGAGCGTACGGCGGTTTCCACACTCCGCACCGACATCAAAACTGGGTGTTTACACTCAGCAGGCGCGCCATTTTGGAGTTTCGACTCGGCTCCGGGCTTTTATTTTCGCACACGGGCCCTACGGGAGCGCCGCGAGACCGATGACGAGGCCGCGCGGCCTGCCACCTCGCGGCGAAACTTCGTAAACCGTTTAGGGAATTGTACGTCGATACGTCAGAAATCGATGAGTATCTGCATACGATGAGCGAAAATCCGGATCGATGAGATTTTATTCGTAAGATTTTCGATCGCCCAGATTCGCAAAAATAATTTCTCGATTTTATCCGGTGATTTGCGCGAGATATATTTTTCCGAAACGTCAAAGAAGCGAACTGTCAAACGTTCATTGGTCGAGTGGACGAATATGTACTCGTGTCCAGCGTTCTTATTGGCTGTTACGTCATCATCATGGAAATGTGCTGTTTGTACCAGTGTGTTATTAAAGAATTTTAATTTCTACGATGATGTAATTTTAGAAAGAAAAATTTTAGTAATTTTGAAGAAAGAAATGTTGCTTCTCTGCGCTCCAACTACCGCGCATCGGCTCTTATGCCATTTTCTTTTTCGTTTTTTGATTATTTGAGCCAAGTCTCTAATTATAATATAATTACAAATTTAAAGAATTTTAACATTAAAGAATTATTCCTTTTTTTTATTGCACATTCAGATGATGTGTATCGAGTTACTTTACAATGGAAAAAACGAAACTCGAAAGCGCGGAATGCCGATCCAATGGAGGGACCGAATCCGCGCGGTCGCTCTCATGCAAACGCGGCCGTAGGCTCGGCGCTGATCGCGCATCGCGCGACGCCGCGTAGCGCCCCGCCGGTAATACCTGCGTCTGGCCGGAGCGATATCCCACTACGCCACTTCCGTTAACTCGCTGCTGAGCAAAATGGACGCCTTTGTGTCTGTTTTCTTCGCATTCCCAGTATAAATACGGATTACGGGACGACGCAGCGGCTGCGAGGCGGCGATGTTTGCGCGACGCCGCGCGAAACGCGTGTGAGGGCAGTGTCGTGTACGCGAGTCGTGGCCGCGAGCCGCCGTGACCGACGTGGAAACGCGTCCAACCAAGTAGGCCAACTGTGGCAGGCCCCAGCGGATGACAATTGAGCGAGCATCGCCCGGGCGACGGTGCGAGCAGCGGTGAGTCCCGCGACGGGCGAATCTCGTCTCGCCGATCGCCACGACGTGCCCGAGGATCCCGCCGGCGGCCGCGAGACACGCGAAACTGCGCCCGGCCTCCCGCCAAAACCGCCAGCCGCGGACAGCGGACGGAGCGATCGGCGACGTAAATAGTCCGGGTGACACGGAGCTGTCGCGCCGTAGCCGCGCCGTGGCCGAGCTACCTCCAACTGCGCCGGTGATTTATAGCGTGCGAGCTTTCCCGAGGAATTTACATGAGTGCTCGATAGAGTCCGACGTCCTCGTCGTCGACGGGAGGATTCCTTCTCTGCTCCCCACCTCCCCCCTGCCCCCCTGTGTTGTTGCAACTGCACCCGGTCGTTCCAAGGATATGGTCTCGCGCGACGTATGATGTTGGATGGTCGACGTTCATCCGGAGAAGGTAAAATGATGTGCTTCTGATTGTACAATGATGATGTTGAGATTGGGAAGAAGACTGGAAGCAGCGGAGAGTTGGTCTTTTAGCGTTGAATGTTGTGTGGTTTTGTCTCCAGTGTTTTGCTGTGTGCTGCTGAGACTTCTAGCTGGGTGATGCGGGTTGTAGTAACTGATGAGCAGCTATGTTTCTGTGCAAAAAATGATTATTTGATTTGCAAACATGTAGATTTTTTTTTTCTTTAATGAAATTTATTTCTCTTTAAAGCAATCTTTCAGTTTGCGTTTTGAATGTATTAAAGCTACGATTCAGAAAATATCAGTTGTGTGGATGTGAATGTTATGTGAACTGTATGAATTCTGTATAAATATTTTATAATCAAATGCAAAATATTTATTTTTGTATTGTGTGTAATTTCAGAAAAATTTTGTTTAAACAAAAAGAAGATACAACATAAATATAATTTTGATTCTTGTAAGATATAAAAATTTTAATTAAATTTAAAATATCTTTTCAAATATAATTCAATATTTATACATCTAAGTTTGAATAATATATTCGATTCTATCAATATAAATTACAAGCATCAAATTATAATATTTTTAGGTTATAATTGCAGTTTGTTTTTATTTGACATATATTACTGTTTCATATGATGTATAATTTAATTTTTATTTATATTTATTTTTATTTATATATATTAATATTTCTTAACTTTGACTTTTTCAGATTTTTTAATTTTTTCAATAATATATATATGTTTAAAGTGTAAAATAATGATAAAAATATATTTGACAAGTGACATATTACATGAGGAAAATTTTTGTTGCAGGACAACAAAGTACTAAACATGGATCGTTTATTGGAGGACCCACGTGCTTCATCAAAATTTGGTTGAAACTTTTGTTTTCAACATGGGAACTTAAGCAAGATTCTGTGAAGTTCCCAATATTTGCCTTAGTGTGCTTCAAAGAGGATTAGAGACTATTCTGTTCAACGGTGAAATATTTGTGTTAGTATGTCTTGAAACGCATAGTGAAAAAATTTTAACAATGACTTATTTAGTCGTTTGTGGGGACAGTGCACTTACACATGTTTCATTGATTTATATTTACTGTACATTATGAACAAGTATTCGTAGCATGCTTGCGTCATGCTTAATATATTGTATTGTCCCACGAACTTTGCGCAGTTTAAGAATGTTGGAATTGATTTTAATTCTCTTTCTTTTGTCTAGGCTGTAATGCCAGAACGAATCAAACTCAAAATGAATGGGGTTGTACCAAGTGTGCCAATAACTACCCTCGCCGGTATTGCGAGTCTCACTGACTTGTTACCTGAAATGCCCCTACCGACTCCGCTGCCACAGACCCTGACTAATAAGTCGTTGCTGTTTCATCCACGAGTGGCAGAGGAAGCGCAGATATTGCTAAGCGTTCGCGATGAAAATCTTGTGCCGCAGTTGATAATGTCTCTGTCACAGACTTCATCGGATCACATTGAACTCAAAGATAATTATGCGAATACCGAACAGTCGTTAGAAAATGAGCAAAACACGCCTGAATTACTCAAGGCAATCTTACAGATAAATCCTCATGTATTCAGGGGACCTCAACACAATTCACCGAGAAACTGGGCGCAGGGTGCGCCAATGTTACACGCGAATCAATCGCCGGCAAGTTATGGTCGTTTCTCGCCGTCCTACTCGAGCTCCTCAGGCTCTAGGCAAACGCCTCAAGGTAGTCCAGCTCATCCTGCGGCGGCTAGATCCGTGCTCCCGCCGCCGGTAGCCAGCGGTATCGCTCACGCGCAACATCCGCGAATGCCGATCACTCCGCAGAATCACGCTGACATCTCGCAGATGTCTCCTTTTGCTGTGCCTTCCCCGTCGCCCAGAGGTAATGTTATGACCGAACAAACGAGAACGTTGACAACGCCTCAGCATATGCAAGAAGACACGAACTGTATAAATCCTTTGTCGAATGTAGCTCTTCAACCGAACATGTACTCGCCAGCTCACATGAGTTCCCCCAATGCACCACTGTCTCTCGGCAATGTGACACCTCAACACCACAACATGGCTGGTATGACGCCGCAACATAACATGCACATGACATCTCCTATGCGCACCACTATGCCTCTGCAACAACAGCATCCAACAATGGGTATGCAACAGAATCTTTACGATCCTATGATGAATCAGCAAGTTCATCATGCTTTAGGCAGCAGTCAATCTTTGGACATTGATAGCGCGGTGCAGGAAAATCAGCAATTTCTTTTGGATCCGACGAGCGCTCTTCCCGATATTGACCTGCCAATCGAGAACATTGACGTAAAACAAGGCATGGATCATGCGGTGCAACATTTATTACCGACTCCTCAGACCACATCTTATCCGAATGTACATGCCACCGATATGATTAATGCTTTAAATCCGGTCGCGACTAATGTGGCGCCCAGTGTGCAACATCAACAGAATAATAATTCCGAAAAGAATATGAAACTTACTGGAACGTTAACGGAAAAGCTAAAAGAGCCTATTGTTATGTTGAATAGATTATCGTTGGCTGATCAAACACTCATGCAGAAGAGTTTGGCGGCGTTTGCGGAAAAATCGCCGAGTCGCGCGGCGAAAATGGGCATCTCTCGTGATGACATGTCAAAGACTGACTCTGAAAGTGAGGAGGAAATCGGCAAGAACAATAAACATTTTAAAGCTCGCGCGAAAGAGCGGCAAGTACAACGAGAGAAAGAGAAAGCGGAGAGACGGAAGAGCGAGGATAAGAATCGCAGGCGAAAAAGGATAACGGACGAAGACGAGGAGGATGATAAACGAGATGCACCTTACACGCCTACGAAACCAAAAATACGCAAGATCGAGAAAAAGCTAGTGCCTGTATTAGCCAAACTGAGCGTGGAGGAGTTGATGGAGACCAATACTTATCAGCGATTTAACTCTACCATAGAGACGATTTTCGAAAACACTGAAGAAATAGCAAACGCCGACTTTGAAGACGACGGTGATGTACCTCCTGAGATACTTATTCCCAAGTATCAGTTGCACGATCTCTGTACAGAAGCAGCCAAACTTAAAACGTTAGGTGCTATGGAATCGATACCTACAGACAGATTAGTAAGGCTATTGAATATTCTCGAAAAGAATATACGAGATGGCGCGAGGGTATCGCCGCTAGTGGATCCAGATGATGATGTCGAAGAAGGACGATTATGGATGCAATTGGCAATGGAACGAGTACAGCGTGCCGTAGACGCTTCATTGATCGCGCTGCATATTATGACTTCTTGCAATATGCCGAAGACAGTCTACTTGGAGGATGTAATTGACCGAATAGTTCTTTTTATGAAGTTTCAACTGCAGAACACAATCTATCCTTCATTCGATCCGGTCTACAAGATAGATACGAAGAATAAGACTGACAATTTTAATTCTAGCGGACGCAAGAAGCGGGGTCATATGAAGGAAGTACGTGAAAAAAGTATCTTGCAGGTTTACAACAAGATGCACGAGTTGGTAGGTTTGCTGGCAGAATTGTTGAATATACAAGTTCTAACAGATACGAGCGTTCTTCACGCATCATCATTGGGCGTCGCTCCGTTTTTCGTCGAATCGGTGAGCGATCTTCAATTGAGCGCGTTGAAACTCGTTACTGTAATATTCACCAAGTACGAGAAACACAGGCGACTATTATTAGACGACATCCTGGCATCTATAGCGAGATTACCTAGTAGCAAAAGGAGTTTACGCACGTACAGACTCAATTCCGAGGATCATATACAGATGTTGACCGCGCTGGTCTTGCAGCTTATCCAATGTGTGGTAGTTCTATCGGATTCCAAATCGTCAAAGGAGGAAGACGAGAAAAAGCTCAGTAACGTAGATTCCGATGTCTTTATTATCAACAGATACGAGACTGCCACCAGAATCGCAGGCAATTTTTTAACGGTATTCCTTAACAAATGCGGTAGTAAGGGCGAAGAAATCGATTATAGACCGTTATTTGAAAATTTTGTACAAGACTTATTAGCGACAGTAAATAAACCTGAGTGGCCCGCTGCCGAATTGTTGCTCAGTCTTCTCGGAAATCTGTTGGTAGGACATTTTTCTAACAAGAGTTCTGACATGTCGCTTCGAGTAGCCTCCATCGATTATCTCGGTGTAGTAGCGGCCAGATTACGTAAAGATGCAGTCAGTTCGCACTGCAAGCTATCAACCATTGACCAGATCATACGGGACATCAAACTCGAGCAACAAAAGGACTCGGATTACGACCAGATAAAGGATAAGGAGATTATAGGACTGAGCGAAGATGAAGAAAGGCTGGTGTTTCTGCAGAAGGTATTGTTGGATTATTTAGCCGTTAATGGGACGAAAGATTCAGCTCTTGGATACGCGCGACACTTTTATCTGGCCCAATGGTATCGGGATTGCGCGATGGAAAAATCTCGGGTAGGTCAGTCGAAAAACAGTCCGAGCAAGAAGATGCACAAAAAACGTTCAAAGAAGAAAAATCGGCATCACAGCAGCGACCAAGACACCGAATCCGAATTGGACGAGCAAGATCCGGACGAGAACGATAATAATGAACAAAAGAATTCGGAGGCTTATCGGGTCATCGAGGAGAAGAAGAAATATATTATCAGTAGAATAAGGCCATACAGCACGGGAACGAAGCCTGATATTCTCCAGACGTACATCGATTATAATTCCGCGGAATTGATTTCGCAGTATCTCGCATCTAAAAGACCATTTTCGCAGAGTTTTGATAAGTATCTCAAGCAGATCCTTCACGTGTTGACAGAATCGTCAATTGCCATTAGAACCAAGGCGATGAAATGCCTCACGATGATTGTTGAGGCTGATCCAAGCGTGCTGGCGAGGGTGGATATGCAGCTAGGCGTGAAGCACTCGTTCCTCGATTACTCGACGTCCGTACGAGAGGCAGCGGTAGATTTAGTAGGCAAATTTGTGTTGAGTAGACCTGAACTGATTGATAAATATTATGATATGTTATCAGCTAGAATCCTTGATACCGGCGTCAGCGTGCGGAAACGCGTTATCAAGATTCTCAAGGATATCTGTATGGAATGTCCGGATTTCCCTAAAATTCCAGAGATATGCGTGAAAATGATAAGGAGAGTCAACGACGAAGAAGGTATCCGAAAGCTCGTCATGGAGGTTTTTCAAAATATGTGGTTTACTCCGGTCAGAGAGCGTCCTACTCTTGATTCAGAATCACTACTAAGAAAGGTTATGAATATCACTGATGTCGTGGCGGCCAGCAAGGATATGGGGCTTGAATGGTTCGAGCAACTTTTGGTAAGTCTGTTTAAACCGAAGGAGGACAAGGACGACAGCACGAAGATGCAAGCGGACCCTCCACGGACATTGCTGACGGCGTGCAAGCAAATCGTAGATTGCCTAATCGAAAACGTGTTGCGGCTGGAAGAGACAAACCTGGGAGATTCAGAAAAATTGGGAAAGAAAGGCTCGTCGCAAAGATTGGTTGCGTGCCTGACAACGCTTTACTTATTTGCAAAGATTCGGCCGCGACTTTTGGTCAATCATGCAATCACCCTACAGCCTTATTTGAGTCTCAAGTGTCAGACGCAGGGTGATTATCAAATCATCAGTAGCGTCGCACACACCCTTGAATTAGTGGTGCCTCTGATGGAACATCCTAGTGAGACCTTTTTAGCGCAGCTCGAAGAGGACTCGGTGAAGCTGATTTTGCAACACGATAGATCAGTAGTCGCGAGTTGTCTATCGTGTTTGGGATCCATAGTCAATAACGTCACACGAAATTTTAAACTGATACGAGATTGCTTCAAGAAATACTACGGACACTTAACGGACTACAAATCGTTCTACGAAAAAGATCCGACCAATCCCATGTTATTAAAATACAGGCCATTTTTCCGACGAGCGCTTTTCACGGTCGGTTTACTGTTGCGTCATTTTAATTTCACGGATCCGGAAGTGATAGAAGGACTGGCAGATAATATTAAAGATCAAGTTTTCGAGACGCTCAATTATTTTGTTCATCTAGATAACGACGACATCCGACATTTTACTCTATCGGCTATTGGTTCTCTCTGCATACGACATTACGAGTTTATGATGCTACCGGAGCTAAAAGAGCTCTATCATCATTTACTCACATCAGAACACGCGCTGGTTAATATGAGAATCCAAGTGCTTAACAACATTGAAATATATCTGCAGGAAGAGGAAAAGAGGATGATCAAACAAGATCTCGAATGGGCGAAAATGTCGAAGCAGGAGAATCTCAAAGAGATGGGTGACGTGTCGTCGGGCATGGCCAGCACCGTGATCCAGCTCTACATCAAAGAAATTCTCGAGTCTTTTCTACACATCAATATAAATGTACGACACGCAGCTCTAAAGGTTATTCAACTGATTCTAGCGCAAGGTTTGGTGCATCCCGTCCAGATAGTACCTTATCTGATATGTATGAGCACCGATTGCGAGAAGGCGGTGAGTCATAGCGCGGACAAATGGCTGCAGGACATTGAAAAGAAGTACCCGGGTTTCATCCATATGAAGTCGCAGTTTGGCATCAAGTTGAGCTATCGACTGCAGAAAATTTTGCAAAACGACATTACGGTGAGAGGTATGCGAACAAAGGACGGCGAATTCCCGGGCGCGCTCAACGGTTTTCTCTATACGATTTTGCGCAGCACGAAACAACAGAGGCGAGCGTTCGTGCTGTCTTTTCTCAAGCGCTTCGACGAGACTGCAAAGACTAGTCTGTCGCAGATGCTGTTTCTTGCGGACAATCTCGCTTATTTTACATATCAGGTGCAGGACGAGCCGCTCTTCATCATCCATCACATCGATATTATCATCTCCATGTCTGGTACAAACGTGTTGCAATCTTTCAAGGAGGCTTTGCTGCCAAAGGAAAACAACATGCAATCACAGTGCGGCCAATCCGAACTGACGTCGGGACAGATGACGGGACAAACAATGCCGACGCCATCGATGCAGACAACGGTAACGGGGCCAGATAATCAACCAAAACCAGATCAGCTGTTGTCGGTTCTAGAGGATGAAGAGGACGATGAGGAGGACGAAGAAGCTATTTTGATTAGATTACCAGATGACACCACCTTGCTCAGGGAATACATCACCGCCAGTCAAGGCTTCTTACTTTTACTGACACTTCGGCAACACCTCAAGGATCTTTACGGTTTCTCTGACGCGAAAATCAGTCAGTATTCGCCTTCGGAAGCGGCCAAGGTTTATGAAAAAGCAGTTAATCGTAAGAATAATCTGCTCTTCGAGCCCAAAGCTACGCTACAGAGACTACGGGAAGGCGTGACCAACGAGGAGCTGGACACAAATGGCAGGAAGAAGCTCGTGAAGGAGTATCTAGATTTCAAGCAATTGATGCTCAAGTTCGATCCCGAGGAACCAGACGACGAGGGTGGTAACGATGCCGACATCAGTGGTAGCAACAAACAGAACGCGGAAAATCCACAAGCGGCGAGGATACCGCCGCATCCTATAGTCGATGGCAATAGAACGATAGCGGACGGCGCTGTAGGAGACGCCACCCTGGCAGTCGCGGGCGGTCAGCAACAGTTCCAGTTACTACCGCAATCAAATCTGAATCTGAACTCGGCTGCGGTGGAGCATCCGAACAACTCGGTAAATTCGCTGCCAGCTGCGGCAGCAACACCAACGACGACGCTACCACGGGTACCGAAATTGACGATACACGCCCATCCGGATGCGAGGGAGTCGCATCGCAAGCACCGCGCGCACAAGACGGACAAATCGGTAAGGAAGCACAAGAAGAAGAAGAGGAGAAGAATCTCCGACACCAGCGATAGCGGCGAGGACTACAGTGACCCTGATTTCCTCGTGTGAGTGCAGTGGAATATCTTATCCTATGTGTACATATAAATATCCGTGATAGTGTGTGCGTGTGCGATCTACCGGCTGGAATGACTCACATTCCGCATGGCCGATACCTGGACGCTATTGTAGCGCGACGGTTCCTTTCCCCCCTGGTCCCCTGAAACGATTCTCTTCCCCAGCCTCTCAAAGTTGTGCTACGACTTTGAAGACGATTCACTGAGACCGTTTCAGGTCGAGAAACTACATAGAGATTATAATAGTGATGTGGGAATGCGTGTGAGCGCGAGAGAAAGAAAGAGCGAGAGAGAGAGAGAGAGAAAGAGAGAGAGAGAGAGAGAGAGAGAGAGAGAGAGGTCTTCGATAAGAATGATAGCCAGAAATTTTTAAGTGCGATCGAACTTTGAGGTAGGATTAGCGTGTTGTTGCCGAAACGGCGAGCATCCGAGGTTTATCGATCCGCCATGCCGTTGTTAGCGAGAGATCGGCTCGTTAAATATTTCGTGCTACCGGCTCGGGAACTTGGTTCACTCGAGAATTAGCTTCTGCTTCCTCCCCGTCGACACGCTTTCGATTAGGGAGCTTATAGGTGATCATTCGATTCCAAAATAGCGCCGAAAGCGAGGGATTGTGAATGATCCCGAGAAGATGCTGTGAACAAGTTTCCTGAGAGAAATCAAGTACAATAAATTATGTTTGCGAACAAAATTCACCTGTAAATAATATCACATAGTAACGACGATATTCAATACAACTGTTAATTCTTTTTCTTTTCATGAAGGAAAAAATTAGCGCAAAGAGAAAGAAAAGCATTAAAAAAAAACAGTATGAAGATTCGAATAATATAAATTTGATTCGTCGTTGCTTCCTCTTTCTCCCTTTTCAGACTGAATTTGAAAAAAAAAGTAAGCACTGCTTATTTCGATAATGCTAAATTATTAAAATTTAGATACATTTATGCTAACGATGATTTATAGGTAAATATAAAAAATATTTTGTGTTTGTGCTTCAAAGTTTATTAAAATTTAAGTACGTACACATACACAACTGTGCACAGAATAACATTTCCACGACAATTACTATACTACTTATAGTAAAATCTGTAGTAATATTTTAACCTTTGTAAAAAAAGTGGTAGAAAAATAAATTACTGCTTTAAAACAATTTGACAAATACAATAAATTTAATAAAAAAGAAAATAAAGAACTAAATGTATGGTCTAATATATTAATTTAATAAAGAGATTACTTAAAAGAATAAACAAAAATTCATTATAATAAAATTGATTTGAGAGATATTTCAATCTTAATATTTATCTAATTAACAGAGAAAGAGTTTAAGGGCGGGGGGGGGGATGTGATATATAAAATATTAATCATATTAATTACAACGTTTGTTAAATACATAAAGTTTCAAAAGAAATTATTTTGTGCTTTCAACGCTTGTAATACAATACTTATGTTTAAAAAATGATTGCACTAATTGTAAATGATACGCAAAAGAGATTACAGAAAGTTACACGTTTAATCCTTAAGCATATCCGGCAGTTTTAAAAGTAAGGCCAGAGTATTATCGATATAAGCGGTAATTACTCGCCTTCGAGGAGCTGTACCAAATATCAAAGGTCCATAAATTTCGGCAAACGATACGAAACCAAGTTGGATGGAGGGCGGACCCGTATAGATTCTCTCCTGCAGTATGTATAATAATAGAGGTGTGTAGCAGGACGCATTGCCTATGCATTACGAAACGTTGTTTGTAATATCTGTACATATAAAAATCTTCAAGTAAAGTATCTTATTTTCGTACAAACTATATAGCGGTGACATTTACGAAGAATACTTAAGATTTTGTTGTAATATTAAGTATTTATTCAGAATTCATATGTTGTCCCAATATAGTTTGTTTCACATACACGCACTCACTCGTCCTCGATACGAATACGATAAAAAGAGAATAAAATAAAGCAAAGGTTCGTTTTTATACAAGCTTATAGAGGTAAAACGATAGAAAGGGATGTTAATATGAAAGAAACGCGGGAGAAATTCACGACACGATGTGACATATTTGAGAAGAACGCGATCTTAAATATTTTATTCTGTCGTAAAATGTTGAAATAATCATCTGGAATAATTTGAGAATTTAGCATTTGTAAATCTTTTTGCATAGATTTACATGTATAATTCCAAAAATATTACAATCACATTGAAAATTTCACAATTAAAAATATTTAAATATTATTTTAATATATATTACTCGAATATACATGTTTTATAGAAAATATATAGTCGAATATCTCTTAAAAATTATTTGTAGGAAATGTAATTCAAAAAGAAAAATTCGTAGTTATTATTTTCTATAAAACTTTTTATGAATGAATTCAATTTTAAGATCGTATTCTTCGCTGTCGTTTCTGTTTCTATCGCTAGTATAACATCTGTTACTACACTCAAAAAGAAATACAATGAGTTTGTCGGGCAATATATAATAATATAAGAGAGAAATATCTTTTTTTTTCCATATTTATAAAAATCTAAACGCGTGTGGTTCAATTGTACGACACGATTAGACTCAAGGCAGCTATAATTTCCAGAATTATAAAGGAGTTGTATCCGTAAAATTTTTTCCGCTGTGGCGATTAATCTTTTTTATATATTTATAATTAACAAGATACGTATAGAAGATACGATAAAAAGAAAGAGGCGAGACATTCTTTTTATGAGATGGGATGCGAGCGCAAACTGACCTCTCTCACCATTATCCAACTAAATCAAACTTGAACACCACTTAGACATATTTGGTACCTGTTTATCGATATCGAATGTAGCTGGAATAATCGTGATTTATCTTAGCTCGCTAGTTGAGCGCACGCATCTCTTCGATCGGAAAATTGCAATTGAAAATGGAAACTACGATGATTCGATCAAATAAACGCCTCGTTCTTGTTGCGAATTTGTTTTATGTTTCTTCCTATAGTGGACGCTTTGAGAAATTTGCTACGGCAATTAAATCGATATAAGGTCTTTTTTTTTTAAAAAAGAAGAATGAATACATAAAGAAGAAAATACACATCGAAAGACGATTTAAAGAGTAATATGAATTTTTTACAAAAAAAAACGAGACCGACAATTCACTATTTTATTTTTTGAAATTTTTTTCGAAAATTGAAAATATTGAAGGAAATTATATTACTTATCAAAGAAAGTTAGTTTATTGTACTCTGTATTATGACTCTGCAATATTAAATATTTTGTAGATATCTTTATTTCTAAATAAAAGAAACAGATTCATTAAATTATAAAAGTATTAAAAGTAAATTATAAAAGTATTAAACTTGTATTAGAATCTATTCAGTTTCCTCTCATGTTCACGTTAATTTTAAATTCTTTCAATTAAATTAAAAAAACTATAATTTCCGACATTTTACATACAAGTATCAAATTTTTCAAGAATGTTATCTATTACGAGCTTCTCCCGCGATTTTCTGTTTCTTTATTCCTTTGTGTTTCGCAAAAATGAAATCTGAACATTGATAACGAGATGCATTTATATTCGATGATAAGAGACTATACGAGGCATAAATTTTTACTGTGCAGATTTGATAACTATATTAACGAATGCAGAATCTAGAAAGTACATCCTCTCAAATGCTTGATTTACAATTAAACTAGTGCTTTATCGAAGTCCAGATGTACACTCGTCTAGATCACATTAATAAATCTAGCAGTAAAAAAATGTACGAATTCATTCGTTTAGCTTTAAGGATACGTGTCAATCTTATATTAGAAGCGCATATGAAAATTTCGCTACAGAAAAAAAGCTTTGTCATATTTTTCACACTTTCATTTCTTTTTTGAAACAATTGTCAAAATTATGTTTTATAAATAAATAAGTGTGCAATGATATAAAAATATATATATTTTTGCAAGTGATAGACATTCGTTAAATTTTTGCATGATGTCATTATCTTCCGAAGAAAATTTATTTGAACACACAAATTTCATCACACGAATTTTCAACGATCAGATTAATAAAATTTCGACTATTAACTGTACTTCTCGAATTTCTTTTAAAAAGAAAAAAGAAATAATTTGCTTGATATGTTTGTTGCAAATTTGAAATATTTAAATGAAACTCGATATAAAAGACGGTGTAGCACACCAAGATTTTTATGAATGATAACTATCGAATTCGAAAAGGAAGCAAGACATATTGATATATCGTCATGTTATTCATAAATAATATGCGCAGATCTATCACTAGGCATGGTATTATTATTCGTCATAAAATCATTTTCTTGATTTTTGAGAATTGAAAATTTGATTTGATTTTGCTTCCGCTTTTTATTATTCACGATTTTTATTTCTATAATTTTTTCCGTTAAAGATTATAAAATTGCAAAAAAGCTTATTTTGGAAACTCTTTCGATGTGAATAATATAATCCGAAATTTTCTTTTAGAAGTTTCTAAAAAAATAATTTCATAATTTATAATATAGTTTCGTAACTTATAAAACTTTATAAGGCTTTATATAGATTTTTACGAGACTTATTTTCGTCATCTCATTATCATTGTTATTATTATTGATCAGGTCAAAAAATTAATTTTTGTTACGAGAGTTTAATCGCGGAGGAACTAGATTTTCTTTTTGCAAAACACGCAATATGAAACATATGCACATAAAAAGTATAAGATCTCGTTTTCAAATTGTACCGTTCCCGAAGCGTGCAATGTTAGAATTTAAGTGAAAATTATTTCTTATGTACAATTTTTTTTTCAAAAAATTTGTAGAAAATAATTTATTAATTAGATTCTCTCTCTCTCATATTAAATTGTGTATCTTCGGGAAACATGCACTGGCGAGTCTTATGAGAGAAAATGTAGAAGAAAGTTACTCGATTCTCTTCAGTTATCTTTGAATTTAATAATAGTTTATGTCTAAAAAGATGGCAAAAATATTTAACAAAAAAATTAAATTACTTTCGAAAGGAAAAGAAAGCAAAAGAGTTTATAGTTTACTCGGCAATTATATAAAGACGATTTTTAAACATGATGTCGTGTCTGTCATGGTATTGATTATAAGAATACTAGTGGTTCTTTTATATGTTTTTCTACTACGGTTTATATGAACGCATACTTTTTTACGAAGAATGTAAAAAAGCTAAAAGATTTAAAACAGGAGCTGTATGATTTCGTGATAGGAAAGTTTTTTCCGAAGTCAGCCTCTTCAGTATTGTCACGAATAATTCGAGAAAGTCTCTTTTCTAAATCTAAACCGTAACGATATAACTACGATTATGAATATATACATAGTACATAATATACATATGCAATTATATCTGTAAATAATTCACGAATGTAAAGATTCTAATAAAATTTATCAATAACTTATGCGTTTTCCAAAATCCTATCATGAAAAAACTTTCCTGCGTGCCGAGAGTTTTTTTTTAATGTTATCGCTTAATTTAACATTTTCTTAACGTTATGTGTAGATACAATTGAAAGAATTTAAACATTTTGTTTCGCTTATTTGCAAATGGATCACAGATTTTTATCCCATCAGCTGTGTATTCATCATATGTATTCAATAATTTTTCATTTTTCGTATTCCTTCGAATTAAAATAGTTCATAAAAATAATATTATTAAATATAATTAGATTTCAGTGAAAATTATTTTCTGTAAACTTAATTGATATTTGAATTTTTATTTCAAGAGAATCGAATGTGTAACTAGAAAATATATACGCATCATTGAAATGAATATCGAAAAGAACCACTATTATTCGAAAGGATAAAGTTGTCATTAATGGAGCAAAAAACATTAAAAAGTAGCGTATAAAATCGTGTGTAATTATACGCAAATTTTTACATTGCCTGAGCAAATGAATATTAGAATGATTCGTTACTGAGAAAAGATGATTCCGTTGTACAAATGTTCACACATGTACATATATATTGACTAGATTTCGGGGAGAAGTTAGTGATAAAGAAATTACAGCAGCCGTTATAATTAATCGAATGACATGTATATCGAACGAGACGAGAAATGTAATTGAAAGAGAGTGCGTTAAATATGATTATTATTTGTTATAATAAACAATCTCTTTTAGGCGGTGCGCATTATAAATTCTAAATAATTATATTTCTATGTATATATACATATATATACATATATGTAATATTGCTAAGGGAGACGGAAGGAAGAGTGCGTCTTTGCGCGTATTGTCACAAAGAACGAAAAGTGCCATCATATCGCGTCGCGTAAGATTAACCCGCGACATGTAAAGAAATATAGTAATTAATAATAGTAAAATAATTGATAAAAAAAAAAGGAGCAAGTTAAAAATATAGCGGGCGAACCGTCGAAGACTATCGTACTCGGCGCGATACGAGACACACTTGTGTATTATATATATAGCATTATACATATTATATATATATTATCATCTATGTTTTTGTATTTGGTAATCTAAAACGAAAAAAATATCGAATTAACGAACAGAAGATTAATAGAAAGTATATATATTTGAGTAAGCTTTCCGAGGGTTGGAGTTATCCAAGACGACGTTGATGAAAGTAGTCTCTCTTTTCCTTTCTCTTTCTTTCATCCTTCTTCTCTGCTCTTGAAAATAAAAACTAACGAGATTTATAGAGCGATTTATAATACAATTGTAAAGACGAGAATATATACGCATACAACGAGCGATCCTGGATAAAATCAACACTCGTTTACTCATAATTTATTATGTACATCGTCTGAAAGAAACAGAAAGGTACGTTCGTAAAGAAAAATAAACATAAGTATATACCAATTTTTTGGATTTATATTTCCTTCTTCGTATAATTGTACTTTGATTAAAAGAAAAATATTATCGATTTTTAAAAAATTCCAGGGCATCCTTGATCTCCCGATTCTTTGTTTCTCCAGTGAACATACCTGAAAAGTGAACACATATATAAATAGATATATTTTTTTAGATGCAATAAAACAAATATTTTTTCTCTTACGAAACGTACAAACGAGGAACGTCCTTAATATATAGCAATTTTTTTGGCTCATTTGTATTAAAATTTTGCATTTTGCATCGTTCTCTCCACACTTTAGTCGAATTCAACACAGTCGAATAATCTCGCTTTTTCATTAATTGTGATGATCTTGTCTTCGTCATCCGATTTTGAGCCGATTTTTGGTGTCTCATTATCATACTTTTCTTTCTGCTTGTATACTCTTCATCTTGTTTCCTGTTTGTTTAAAAAGTTATTCATACAAGTTATATAATTCTACAAGCTAAACTTTAAATTGCAATTTTTTCATTTAGTATTATGTAATATATTCATATCATTGTTTCAAATCTTCCGTTTAATTTTGAAAATAATTGATATTACCTAAAAGCCTCGATCAACATCGGATTGTATTTTGGTTCTGTTCTCGTGTTGTCTTTCGAAGCTTTAGAAGAAATTTCTATCGATTTTCTCTCGCGATATTCCTTTAAAGCTTCTTGAATGCTCCTCAATCTTTCTCTCTTACGTTTTTCTAGCATGGCGAGTTTCGATTCGATCAGAATCTTTGATTGTTCCTCGTCAATCAAACGTTTATTCTCTTTCTCAATTTTCCACTGCTTTATTAATTCCTTCTTTCGATCCGCGTTATTGATATCAACGAAATCGCAAGTCTTCGTTTTTTCGTATTTGTCAATCATGCATATCGGAAGTTTTTTTATGATATTGGAAGTTTTTTTTTCTTGCGAAGTATCTTCCAAGGCTTCCATCTCTATTTCGCTCTTGTTGTTTTTTATCTTTTCTATTTCTTTTTGCTTGCGCCATTTTTTAATGTTTGCTCGTTGTTTCTCACGTAGATTCAGATAAATCTTGTACCAAGCCTCGTGATTCACTATGGTTTCCACAGTTAAATCCGGACATTTGACTCGAAGAGCGGCTACTAGAGTAGCAATGCTGCTACATTTTTTCCGCAGTTTCAGGAATAGCAAGTGATCCTCGTTGCTCCAGTTATCGGTATAGCCTGCAAGATATGTAGTTTTCGTATGAATGTACGAATTATAATAAATAACTCATGATAAAAAAAATCTCATACAGGTCTTACATATGAGAAATATAGTTTGGCAACAAAATTAAGAAAAAAGGTGTTTCATATTACTCTCTTTCATTCGATTAATATAAATATAATAAATATACAAATTTTTAAATAAGTAATAAAATTATTTAAGACATAAAAAGACACCCAAAAATGTTACGTAATAAAAAAGATGTTACAAAATAATAAATTAAATTTTGCAACATACTTTAATTACTTATGAATTTAAATGTGTCGAGTACCTGTTTTAGCAATTAACGCGTGGAAGTCTTGGATCCCCATATAATCGTTGCACTTTTTATTTTCCTTGTTGGAAGATGTGACAGATGTCGGATTGCCATCAGTTGCACTCTCATACTTATGCAAATTCGATTCAAATTCGCGTAATTCAGACTCGAGAGTTGTTTGCTCCTGCGACAAAGTCTGCAGTTGGCAAGATTCCTTAAAATCTTGAATTTTTTGCGACAATCTTATGAGCCGTTGTTTGTATACATTTGTATCTAAATAAACGTTTATTCACATTGTAAATATTGAAGATACACAAAGATTTCTCCTTCTTTTTACGCTGCACGTAATTAATATTAATTAAATGATATTATTATATATTAATTAAATTGATATTTTATATAAATTTTAATTTAGAAATTGTAGCATAACTAATTAAGAATAATGCGTAAAAATTTTAAATTAAAATAATAAATAAAATAATGCGTAAAGATTTAAAATTAAATCGGAAGCGATTTAGAAAAAAGAATGGTTATGCGAAAATAATAAATTAATAGAAAATAAAATAATTTCAAAGTTCACCTAACTTCTGGATCTTTTCGGAGCTATTTGTAGCAGATTTTGCCGAGCAAAGTTCTTCGGCAATTTCCTCCAAACGGCTTCTCACGTTATCCAGAAAAATTTGTCTTTAAAAAAATATTCAAATTAATTCGATATTGCATAAGCCAATTTGATATGCATAACGCACAATTTAAGATCGACTAATTCGTTTTTCTCTGCTTACCTGTTTTTCGAGATGTCATTCATTTTATGCAAAAGAGGTCGTAGAACTTCTGGTTCCAGTTTCATGTTATCCATCAAATTAACCAGATTCTTCTCCATCAAATACTCTAGCTGCTTTAACTTCAATACAGACTTCTTATACTGCGTGTTTTCAGCAGAATGTATTTTTCCATACGACGGGATTCGCCTTACTTTCTTATCTTCTTTGCGAATAATTTCACTCATTATTACACGTAATTGCGATTTTAATAACTGCTTAAAATTAGATTTTTTTAAATTATAATGAAATAATTTAATGTAAAAATTCAAGTTTTCTTTGTAGACTCGTAGATACGTCGTGTGTTTTTGTTAGGAAACTAAATTCGTTAGGCTTGGGCTTTGTGCCCTGACAAAGTTTCACATGTGGGTTTCCATAGTAATTTACCACATAACTGTCTCCCTTCTAATGTAATCGCACCTGCTGATTGAAACATAGGAAATTATTATACAAGCTATATAATGTGTAAAAAATAAATGTAATTCTTTTAAGTATAAAAATTTTATTTACATAAAGATTTTATTACAAAAATATAATTATAATATGTTATTCCAAGTTGTTATATAAAGTATATATTTTTTTGTAATATATGCTTGTCATAGAAAAATTAGAATTGATGAAATATAATTTATATGTATCAAGTTTTAATTTATTAACATTATCATTGTCAATTTTGTTTTTTAGATTGAGAAATATGTTTATAATTTTTGAAAATGATTTCAATGAAAATATATTTCAATTATTTTTGCATACTATTATTTCAATAATTATCTGCAATAATTCTCTCAAAATAATATACGTATAAAAGATATATAAAATTAAATATAAAAATATATCCATTATTATCTATAGTCGATTAAATCGGTACCTATTAATACAAGTTTATCAACAGTTGCAAAAAGATGAAGATAAGATTCGTCGATAATTATATTAATATCATAATAATGCAATATGAAAAAATAGATATTTTAAATAAGAAAAAATCATGTTCATTTATTATAAATAATTCTTTATTTATTATAAATAATAAAAAGCTGCAATACATAAGATATATACATCTCCAAAAATTAGGATATCTATTATTGAACGATATCTCCTTTTATTATTAAGAATTTTCAGATATAAATGATCATACCAATAAAATTGTACAACAGGAATAAGAAATCTCGTCGAAAAAGGAGGGTACATTTTCCACTTACTTACACAGGACATCAGAGTTTGACAGTGTTTATATTTACAGTCGCGCGTGCATCTCGCTGTCATTTTACAACCTCGAGCGATCCCTCGTGATGCTGCCGCGAATCAATTCGCTCCCTTCCCTCTCCTTTCCGCCCGCGGTGGCTCTCGGGCCGTTCGCGTTGCGGCGCATTTATACGGGCGGCCTGTCTCTAGGCGCCTCAGTCTATGCTCGAGACGCGGCAGCGTAAGTATGGGGTGCGCGCGCAGGACCCCGCGAGACGTATCGTACGGCATTGCGCTTTGAACCGTTTGACGACGAGCAACGAGACGACGCAACGATTCCGAAACGCTCTCGACAGGAGATAAGAAGGACAAACACAATTCTCATCCCCATCTGCCACCAAAATCGCCCCTCGACGCTCCTCGACGACTTGCCGTCTCTCGACAACAGCGGTTGTTCGCGGCGCGAGCGCGCCTAATCGCGTGCATGTCGCTGGGAAATCCGACCGGCACCGAACGTTCGATTTTCCGCTCGATGAGTGAAAGATTCGTCGCGCTATCGTGAAACGAGATCGGGATCCTCGCGGGATTCTCCGCGATTGTGGTGATCCGGTGTTGGTGACTCGGCAAGGAAGGATCTCCCTGGATTCGCGAAGTATCAAACGTAAGTACTATGTATGCACTTGGTTAGGTATAATATCTGAAGTTGGCTGCGGTTTAACGACGCTTATTGCGAACGCGCGATCGAAGAGGCATTAAATGATTGATTCGTTCTGCGGATCAAAGGAAATCGAGATACGTCATTTCGATTGCCTTTGAAGGTGAACGATTTGAATTAATTAACAGATGCATTTGTGATTGACGTGATTACTTTGAATTGCTTTTTTTTACGCGATGAAAGATCATTTTAGCAGGGAGCATAATGTTTTTTATCTCGAATAGATAACAACTGCAAGCAGATAATATTAAATATTAACAACACAAGAAAATTATCTCTCGTGAAATTTTTTTGTCATTTATAAATTTTTATCTTAAAAAGAAATTTAAATTTTCCAGAATATTTTCGAAAAAAAATTTTGATGTTCCTCGATCTTTAAATTTTTGAATATTTATTAAATAAATCTAGGGGACTCGTGTAATATACAAACTTGGATATTTTTGGGTTCTTCTTATCGTCACGTTTCTTTGAATAAAATTATCTCAGAATTATCGTAAAAATGACGATTATAAGTATCATCTGATAACTGTGGAATTTCTTGCTACAATACACAATTTTCTACGAATGTTTTATGACGCACCCTCTTATAATTAGGAAATTATGCCATTGAAAGTAGAAATGGAACATCTAAATTATCATCAATGTAAAGAAACATAAATAACTACATTACATCTGTTGCATAGCACAGATGATTCATTGGCAAGTTGGCTTATGCAGCGACATTGATAAGGAATCATGGCACGCGATATTAATGTTAGACTTTAACTTGAAATGGATATTGCAGACGGTAATCAAGCGAACAAAATAATTTCAAAAAATAAATTTCCAAAAAGTTGAATACAAAATTATCGCAAGATCAAGTATATTAATATTATTAATCTTATCGCGCATGTATATCATATTAGGATGTATTTAAATAATAATGCATCTTATGATACTATGCAGAATACAGTAATAATCTTGCTAGAACCATAATGGACAATAATTAATTGAAAGATTTTATATAATTTTATGCCATTATATGCCTTCCTATTCTGGCTACTTAATCATCCGTTAGAGTAGTGTTTTTAGAGAAAGTTTCATTGTTCGATCATAAGGAAGTTCTGCTTCGTAATCATTTAATCACATTAATTACGAGTGGTGGTTGTTACGATAATATATTTAATTATTCGCAAAAAATAGTACATATTATTAACAATAATTAATTAATATTTGTGTTATACCATTCCCATCCCCAGTATATTTTTCACATTTCATTTATATTTAATCTCTAATTAAAATCACTTTTTACATAGAAAGCTGCATTGTTCTAGCAATTGTAAGGAAATATTGCACCGTAGTAACTAATTAGAAGTCGTTAATGCAATTAAATCATACATTGTGTGACTTTCTTTACACGTTAGGTTAGATAATCTCACATTACTACAGAAAGGAAGTAGAGCGAATAATAACATTCGTGACTTCTCAAATTTAATGATTATAATGTCAATATTTTCAAAGAAACTAATGAGAAAATTAATACGCTCGTCGTCTCGTGCGTTACACACATTCCGATTATATATTAATGATATATTAAATTGTAAATACATCGGAAGGGAAGGTAGAAAATGAAGATCGAAAATTTGAAGAATCTTCAATTACATGGATGATACGCGGATTAGTTTGCGATCGACAAGTAATATCCGCCCACAGGATGATTCGCGTAATGGCGCGATAATTTCGCGGCGATTGAATTGCTGATGCAATTATTCGTCGGAGGCGCGAGTACATGCTTAGAGCGAAGATGATCGAGATAAGTGGACGGAGACAAAGCGTTTTGTCGCGTGAGATAGTCAGTGCCGCGCAACGAGATACATCTTTCTCTCTCTTCCTCTCTTTCCTTCTTTCTCTTTCGCTTTCTCGATAATAAGTAATAAACGTAGGCATGATGCATAATAAACGGCAGGCATGACGATGCTTGCATATCGTGACTATTCTATTGAATGACATTGAACCTTCCTTCGATCTTTATCGATTTTGCATACGCGAAATATTACATTCCGTATGCATTCTTAAGAGCATTTTTATGGGACATATTTGCGTAAGAAAAAATTTGCGTAATACATTTAAAAGCAGTTTTAATGAAGAATAATAATCTGGTTTTAATAAGAGACTTCTCTTACAACGATGACTGGAAAAAATCGGAGTATTTTTTTTTTATATTTGATACCTTTATAAAAATTTTTACATTATAATATTTTTATGTTAATAAATTGAATCAATTATTCTCGCGTTATTATTGTTCCGTGGTAATGTAAATACGACAAATGACGTATTTTTAACGTACTAGCACATCGCATAGGAAATGATGCGATCGACAAACATTATTTGCATTACTATTGCTATTCTATTGCTCGATCATAGATGAACTCTGTTGCGCCAACACACGCGTTTACGCGAGGATTCGCTGCGTGCATCGAGTCTTGAGAATAGCGTGCTGCTCGTTACGGCTGCTCTCCGCTTAAAAGTGAATGGGGAACCCGCTCATTCATAAGATTTTCTTCCGAGAGGGGCAGCAAACAGCCGCGCGCTCGCTACTTGCCTCGGCGCAGCGCGGAGCAAATGCACTTTATGCAGCGACTGGATATGCAACTTATCACTCGTCTGTTAAAGTAAAGTATTTTGCGACCGAGGAATGCGAGGCTCGCGAAAAAGAAGTTTGCGAATAAATATTTTCTGAGCGATCTTTCATGGCACAAAGCAAACAAATCCAGTGAAGAATGGGTAACAGTTTTATCTTGGTACTAATAAGTACAAAGATGTAATAAAATTATTATTATTAATTTTTTATTAGGTAGACATTTTTCATCGACTCGTCATCTACGTATAATAAGAAATTACAAAATAAAATTTCCTTTACAATGTTTAATAAAATATTTTAATTATATATATTAATTATATATATGTAATTAAATATAGTAATTATATATATATATATATATATATATATATATATATATGTATTTTCTTTATTATAAATAAAAATTTAATATTATATAAAATATATAATGCGGGGTTTATTAATATAAATGTATAAAAACGACAAACTAATAAGTATTATATAAAACAGAGTTTAATAATTGACTAACATATTTAGAAAATAATTAACAAATAGCCGACTTTATCTTAAATATCATTGCGTATATACACAAGGATACACGAACCGTAAATTTAGGATAATGTACATGATCGTTATGTTAAACAAATCAGTGCTGGAAATAGAGAGAGAGAGAGAGTGAGAAGGATTTATCTCGCGAAGAAATACGCGGCCCTTATGCGATTTGTTAAGGTTATTTGTTAGGTTTAACACGGCGATAATATGGTCAAAACAGTTCTCTCGTTAAATCTCGGTCTCTCATTCGTTCTCGACGCTGACCGGCAATGATTGCAACATTGCAAACGTCGCGATTAATGAACGGCTGTCATCGCATCGCCGGAAAATCAGTTGCGCGTATCGCGAGCTATATACGCTGTCGAGATGCGTTCGCTCTCGCGCATCGGATTAAGTTGGATTTCAGCGCGTACGTACATTTTGATATCCCGATGACAGCATGATCCTTAGAGCAATCAACAAGCATGTAATTTTTGCGAAGGGGAATTAACTATGCCGCTAGTTTTGTTAGATACATACACGAATTGCCCCGGGAGGAGAAATTATAACGTCAGGAGCGTACGGTTTTACCGATTTCGACCAAATTTTCCAAGTTTCTCTCATTTACCAATCTCGTCTGATCACGTTGAATCTGTAGAGTTGACGTTTCCCTATCGATTTTTATCTGTAGAATTAACGCAGTATATTTTTCTTTCGCTTTATATTCTCGGCTTCGAGTACTCACACGCGATCGGGGAATATGAAAATTGCCCACCGCGAAAGGAGTAGAGACGAAAGATGGGGGGAAGAGGGCAATAAGTCCAGTCAAGGCGATAGGTGATCAATCTCGGCGCGCTCGAAGGGAACTTTACGGGCCGGCGCGTAATGATAAACGACTTCGGAGTCGGTGTGTTCCGGACATTATCGGACCGCGTAGTCGAGATATCGCGTTTCTCGTCGCGGTCCATGGGCGACCATGCGCGACACGGATTTGCATTCGCGCGGGCGTAGTCGCGGACCGATCGGGCTCGTCGTCGTCGTCGGGAACAGGTTCATTTCGCTGAGCGCGAAATGAATGAAATCGTTAGGCGTTACGGCACGCCGACGTTCCGCGCTCCGGATCGTTTATCGGCCCGGTTATCTGCGCGCGCGCAATTATGCGTCTCGTAATAACTCGATGCGTGCGCTCGTGCGCGCGCGCGCGCCGGCTTACGCATCCGGTTTCCCGGATATATTTAGTGTCCATTGGGATAATTGTCATATTGTGCGTTGAACGTGCAAACTGCAGTATGTATCTCTCAGTTATTTTTCGACGATTTTTTGCGATATATAATTATGAATAAACAATTTTTTAAGTAAAATTTAAAAATTATTAGAGAAATTAATTTTAGAAAAATCTGTCGCGAAGACAAATTTAAATATAATGTTCGTCCTGGAGGAAACTTTAGATGAAAGATATATAAATGAGATCGAGCGTATTAGTTAGTTGTGTTTATTTTGAAGATGGATGCCACTATGAACCGATGTGTTTTGTATACAAGATTGTTTTTATTTTTAAACATCGTATATATATTAATAAGAATTTTTGAAACCAGGACAAAGAAACGTTCTCGTTCTTATAACGTGAGTGGATTCTTGATATCTCGCTGATAATATCTTAATCTCTCTTCTACCTCACGATGTGATCATTACGCCTTCTCCACTGAAAATTTCTTCTCGGTACAGTGAAATAGCACTTGGATAATTGTTGAATGTTTGCAGTAGTTACGATGCAGTAAAAGCAGAGTGTTATAGTTATGCTACGACAAATGTTCTA